TTCATTTTTATAGGCCTACATGTTTTTAAGCAGATATTTTCATGTTGAGGAATGTGGGTGGAACATGTTTACATACATTGTTAATGGGGTTTGTGGTCTCTGTATATTTCTTTGGTGATGTACTGTATTTCCTATGTCAAAAACAACTTACACGTAGAAAGAGGAGAAGAGAGACAAAAAATAGAGATAGAGAGATAAAGAGAGAGAGAGAGAGATAGAGAAAGAGAGAGAGAGAGAGAGAGAGTAAGTAAGCTTTGAAAAACTTATTGTCATGAAATCATGTTTTGTGAACATTGCTAAATTTGCTATAAAAAATAGGCAAGTGCATTTAATAAACTGTAGACTCTTTTTTAACATGTACATAAACATTTTGCAATCACGTGAGCCATATTGGAGAAAAGATGAAAGTGAAAGGATAGAGTTTTATAGCACAGGGCCCGTATTCATGAAACCAATAGTACACTATTTGACAACTAATTACATACCGGTAGGCTATATAATTATGACACAGTTAGCTGATAATTTATTAGGCTTAGTAAGGTTTTATTAATATGAGCCATGCAGGGCTTTAAATAGTCAGAAGATTAACCCATACAAGATGTATTGAGTATCAGAAATTCATGTCTTTAAATTTTAACCTGCTGAAAATGGAAAGAACATTGCATAATTTTTTTTTCAAGAGCTGATTTCAATGCACATAGCTTGAACAATTGATATGAACAATCCTAACCTCTTAGCTTCTGTGCATTGTTATGATAATAAATGTGACCGATACCTCTCTCCCACTCGCACCGGCGGTCTCTCGCCGACTTCAGCGCTTGTTCGTATCCATCTCGTCTGTTTTTGCGCCTGGAGAAAACGAGGGATGAGTCATCGAGACGGCTTGGCCCATCCTGGCGATCAATAGCCTTACTCCCAGGCCAAGTGGGTTTACTTTATCATCTCTAGAAATTATTTCTAGCCAAGTCTGGATGATGTAGAATACATGAGTACATGTACATACATGTATACTCCTTCAAAGGGGAAAGTTCATTCAAGAAATGTAGTCTGCTTATAATTCAAGGCTTTGCTAGAAGAAAAAAAACTTGAATACGGTAAATAATTGTTTTGTTTCGTTTTGAAGTTAGGCTAAAGCGATCAAGTGCCCCTCAAGCCGTGTGCATGCATTGAGTTTGGGAAGCCCCTTGCATGCATAATTGGATCTCGAGAGATATAGCGAACATACAATGTGCGTATGGAGAGGGACGGCTGCACACGTGACTTGCTGCAGTGCATGCATTTAATGTATTCAATACATTTTAGAAGGTTAACTCTTTCCGTGTCACCAATTTTTTTTGTGAACAGCTGTCATAAATGGACACTGAAGTTGTCAAAGTTTTATTAGGCTTGAAATAAATCCAAATTTAGTTTTGTAATGAGCCATAAGTGTACTTGTTTCTATTTTAGAACAAAACATGATGATTCTTCAGTCAAATAGATTGTTTTAACATTCAAACTCATGGACTGAGTTTGATACTCATGTCATGGCAGGGGATATCTTGATGCATGTATAAAAAGGAAGAAAAAAGAAATCTCATTTGAAGACATTAAGACATTTCTTTTCATTTCAAGCAGGCACATTGCAAGCAGCTTTATGAAAATCCCTACAGTTTTTCTGAACATATCCTTCATTTATACTCTTAATTACTTTCTCCTTCTTCTTTCATATTGTATTTGTATCCTCTTTTTCTAGCCCTAGGCTATTCTACTACATCCTGTAAATATCCAACATTTTTTTCACTTGTGCATACACTTACAATGTATGTAAATAATATCTTGGCAGTATTTTTTAGCACAATCTTAAAGGTATACTGTTTAAGAGTGTGACATTCAGCACATCAGTAATAGAGTCCGGATTCTCCGGAATGAATTTGTCTTGAAATTTTAAGATGTCTTGTAGCTTTTTATGAGAAATGATCATGATGAGAAGTTGAATCAATGATCAATTAATGTTGACTTTGATGAGAATCAAATCAAGATTCATATGAACTGTAGTATGTGAATAATGATTTGTTGAAAACTTTATGAGAAGTAAAGTTAAAGGCTTTCCACACCATTTTCATCTCTCATTATGTAATTCTTTGCTTCTCGCAATCCTTCAGACTAATTTCAACGAGTAATCTTATATAAATTGAGCTGTACCTTAAACTCTTGCCAATACACTGAGCTCTATCCAAGATTTGATTGAAGTGTATTACATGTACATGCCTTTTGATTGTGGCTTAACAGGAACTATTCTTTCTCCACACAAAGAAATGGTAATTTGGTCGTACAGAGATTCAATTAAAAGTACTTTGTTAAAGATAAACTTTAGTGCTGGTAAAAAAAAAAATCAATTCTCACAGAATCTAACGAAACTTACACTGAATGTTCAAGATTACAAATAAATGTCATGTGCCAAACAATTTTGGAAGAAAATGTATACTGGCTGAGTAATGAGCATAGAAAGATAAGGAAATCAAGTAGTAATAGCCCCGACACCATTTGTGTTGTCCCATATGCATCTTTCTGTGTAGTGTGCTTGTTATTTTACCAAGACTGAGCCAAATTTGTTATGAATTTAATGACTCCAGAACCTTGCATTTCACACCAATACTTACATGCTACATGATCAACTTTTTCTGATGCATTCCACACCTTTTCTTTCACAAAGTAATCGCATGACCAGAACTCAAGTTTATCTTTAAATCTGTTGTTTGAAGGGTCGGTTGTCTCCTTTAAAGAGAAGAGTCATTGCAATGTGTTAATTAGATACTTCCTATTAACAGCATCATAGGTCATTCAAGCTAATGATGCAGAATGCAGATTGAATAACAGTGCAGGGGGGGGGGGGGGGGGGGTGTTTCATGAAGCTGTTCGTTAAGTTACGCATGACTTTACGAACAACTTGTATATGAAAAGCCAAATGGGATGCTCAATCATCATTGATTATTATTTATTAAGTTGAACTGTGCAGATGTAGATTAACATTCTTATTATAACACCCATTTTTAATGCAAAGTATATTTGTTGCCATAATTTTATTGAGGTTATTGGAAATATCAGAAAAAACTTTGGGTATCCTATCTGGCACTTCAAATACAAGTCGTTCGTAAAGTCATGCGTAACTTTACGAACTCTTTATGAAACACCCCCCCCAGGGATAATAACATCGCCATTTTATTTCATTTGGTTAGATTTTAGTTTTATCTGCCATGATATGAGAAGAATGAAGAGGAAGAAGGGGAAGAGGAGAAGGAAGAAAATGAGAGAGAAGTGGAACGAGAAAAGGATAAATCAAAACCAAAGAAGAAGAAGAGGAATAAGAAGTGTTGGGATACTCACTATGACATTTGTTTTTATTTGATTTTATTTGATCTATCATGAAATGAGAAGAATGAAAAGGGAGGAGAGGAGAAGAAAACTGTAGAGAATGGGGATGAAAAAAGGACAAATGTATAATAGGAGGAGGAGGAGGGGGAGGAGAGAGGATGAGAAGAAGGAGGAGATGAAAGAGGAAGAGAAGAAATAATACAATGAACAAATCTAGAATGAAAGTGAGGGATAAGAGATAACTTTTAAAAGCTATAAGTATATTGTTTTTCTAAATTTAGCAATACATGTATGCACATATCAGGGAAATAAAAGTGGATTATGAAACTGGCATTTGATTTATAAGTACATGTAGATTGTTTATCATTGTTTCACTTGTGAATCAGAGGAGAACAAATTCTTGAGGAAATTTGAAAAATGCTCTTTTGGATCCCTCTCAAGTAATTTCCTGATAATGTTTAAAATTGAATAACCAGATTTTTCTAAAAAAAAAGTAAGGAAATGTATACCCAGAAATGGAACATTGAATGGGTTGACATCCTGCCATTGAATACAAACAATGGGCAATTTGTAGTTAATTAACAATGTTATTATTTATGGGCATGTTCATTTCATTTCATTTCTTTATTGTGTCCATATAGGATAATTGTTTATATGCACATGAACAATCTTGTTGAGGAGAATGTTGAAGAAACAAAAGGATACAATACATTTGTAGCACCATAAAGAAATAGGGCGAGGAGGGGGAGGGGGAGGGGGGGGGGTAGGGAAGAGTTAAATATATCTATCAGAAATTGTTTTTTACCCGGGGGGAGGGGGGGGGGGTAGAAGATTTCTATGAATCATGCATAGAACATTTTTCAATTGGAAAACAATGCAAGATTTCCCTTACAGATCTCTCTGAAATACGAAATACATATTCTGGGCAATCTAAGCAGGTCGACTCATGATTCATCACACAAGCAATTGATGAATTGAAGGAACCTATCAACCTTTGATGAGCTTGGTTTAAGGAAGAAATGAAACAAGGAAGTGCTATATATTATACACTTGAATGAAAATAGAACCACTGGTTGAGATGATCTTCCTTTGTGCACTGAGAGAAAGTGCTTAATGAGTCGTAACCTATTTTGGTAGTATTAATAATTTACATTGAATTTATAAATCAATTTTGCCCAAAAACGTTCATCTGGGTATTGTAAAATGTTCAAAATATATGACATGTAGGCCTGCATGTACATCTTCTATAGAACATGAGGAAGGAGTGTGCTGATGCAGCAGTGATTTTGCAGGAGGCCTGTTAACTCATTGACTCCTGAATTATCTCTTTCCCATAAGCTTAATACAGGGCCTATCAAGTTCCAATAGGCAACAGGTTAAATCCTTTGTTGTTGTGTAGGGTTTAACATCCATTGTTGCATCATTGTCTTGATGTGTTGATGATGAGCAATCGGCTTCATTAGTTACAGGAAATCAGCTGTGGGGTGAAACAATGACATGAACACCTCCCCGAGGGAAGTCATGTTAATTAGTACATACTACTGACTCAGTTTCTCATTAACCCTTTCCCCTTCCCCCTTACACATGCCTTCCAATAGTCACATAAGGCATGTACAGGCAACGGCTGTGAGGAGAGTGGAAGGGTTAAGTGGTATCGGATGGCCTCTTTAAGGCAGGATCGATTATCAAGAGGGCATAATCCTAGAAGTTGGCGCGGGCCACAAAGGGACGAGGATTTAGGAAAAAGAATAATGTACAGGGTGTATATGGACAGGAAGAAGGAAGGATATGGCATGCTGGTCTATCCCTGTGATTAGGCTACAATCAACTTGGTTTTGAGTAGCGTACAAGTAGCCTCTTCTTGCTTCTCTGCCTATACATACATGTATACATCACTCACGTGGTGAATCTATGTACACTGTCTCGTTAAACTTGAAGCGGATAGTAATTCATTTGCTGTGTTTTTTACGGAAGAGGAAGGAATGTTGTGGGGATTTTTCGAGTTGTGTATTGCAAACAGCATTTGCGGCGGCTAGACAGGAAAAGGTTTATATTGCTTAGGTGAAGTCTTTTGCCAGTGGTTGCCAGACTCTAAAAAGTGTGATTTATGCACCATTTTGAGCTTGTTTCTGTTATTATCAACGCATTCCGTTAGTCTTATTTTGGATATACATGTACATATGGCAAGTGGAGGTTCAATAGTTGATGGTGCGTCACGTCACGCAAGCTGCTTATAAGCTACGGCATCGGGACCACTCATCGCCAATAATTCCCCCAGATTCTCGGGAATAGAGGGGATCGTTGCCTTTGCCCCCTTCCTCCTGCTCGGTTGTGCAGAGTGTTCACCCCTCACCCAAGTTCGCATGGTGTGAAATGTCATAAAGATAGGTGTTTACACACACACTCCGGCATCCCGCGGATTGATGAGCTACTTGTATCATCATTACTCAGCCCCTACCACCGAGATTGCTACGGTGCAGCCACTTCTAATCATATTAAAAAACTGTTGAATTCTTTCAAGCGATTGATATCGTCAAGGCCGCCTAGGGCTAGTAGACGACAACGATGACGACGTGTGACTAAGATTTCTATGGATTAACCGTCCATTAGAGATTCCTGCAAGCAATTTCTTCTGCCTACTTCGTTTTGAGAGAACCGTGAGCAGTGGATGAGCGGGCACACGCCAGCCAAATGTCTTGATACGCGGTCCATTAGAAGAAGAAAAAATGCTAATGGACGAATGTGCCTCTCTAGTCATCATCAAGAGTCGAGGCAGACACTGAATAGATTTCCATCTAATTAAATCGCCCCTCACTGAAGTTCTTGCCTGGCTGGCCTGGCGTAGATGCGACTCAGAGAAAGCCCCACTTGCCGGAGTTTCTCTCCCCTGAAAGCAGGATAGGGATTTTCCTGCGACGTCAGAGCCTGATCGTGTAGGCGTTGAACACTCGATCTCCTTCTCTCTCGTCCGTCTTTAAGCTGGGATATACTGTTACATGAGGATATAGCCTTGTATTCAAGTGTGTGAATATTTGCTCAACAAATATGGAACATAGACTGAGCATAGAGAAAGCCTTGAGGAAACTTTTCTCACAGAGCCCTTCAAGTCCTAACGGTAAGACAGCAAAAGCGTTAGAAAATTAATAAAGATATATTTACCATTTGCACCTTATGGGTGGTGCCTTCTCTTTATTTGTTATTTAAATGTTCTGATGATAGTCTTCTTGTAGTGTACATGTACAGTGTATTAAAGATTACTCAGTGTTTACTGATCAGTCCACCCTGTCTTAGTGACCACCTCTCTATATAGGCAACCTCTCTATATAGGCCACCTGTTTACAGTGGTCACCTATGATGTCCTACTCTAGGATGAGTTGTGTGTCGTAGAACCTGTCTAGAGAGGCCACCTGTCTACAGTAGCCAGTTTCCCTGTGTCCCGCGGTTGGCCTTTATAGACAGGTTTCACTGTATTCATTTATTGAAGCACCATTAGAATGACTACTTCTACTGCTGATGCACAGGATTCATTCAGACATGCACAAGTGAAATTCACCCATATGGATTGACTGTCAACTATATCGATGTCTCATTTCATTCATTCCTTTTGTTTGTATCTAGGCTACGTGTACCGTTACCCTTACGTAGCAAATGTTGTCATGGGTAGCTGAGCTTGTACTTGCGTAATTGTTCTTCAAACTTGCCCATATTGTACTTTTCCTATTTGATAAACAACACGCACCCCTACAATGGAAGTAGGCATAGTACTAAAGTGAAATTTGACACTTGGCAAGGAATTATTTCTGTCATGACGCATATATGGAAACCCCTTTGTATACATAAACATTGCTTGTCAACGATGGATTTCACTTTCTAAAGAACGCAAGGCAATGAATTACCCCACCCTCCAGTATGATGACTAACATTGCCATTTTGAAGACAGATTGTTGTAATGTGTGTTTTTTTGAGCTAGAAGGGTCGTAACTCTGTGTAAAATGATATGGATGAATACCCTTCTGGATCCAAACAGACCCTTTATATAGCACTCAATAAGGGAGTTTACAGATAGCACATGGTACAAATGACCCCAAATATCCACAGATCTTTTACACATGGAGAAGTTCCATTTTGAGCATCTTAGAATAATAACTGCCAAAGTCCTAGATGTGCTTCATGAATACCTTTTGTTTGACCTCTTGAAAAGAATACTTCCCACCTGCGTAACATAGAATGTACCGTTGGTGCATAAATGAATAATGTTACATAACTTTCATGAGCGCATATCCAGTATTCATCTCTGTGGGTTTTACCATTTTGGTACAAATATTATCTGCCCATGCGCAGATTGTATCTGTAAACTCCCTTAATATACATTTCTATTGTACAGGGTTAGTATTAGCACAGCTTGTGCCGAACGACTCTGATAAAGCATTCAAGCAATCATGGGATTCTCTCATACATTAACCCATTTACTTCACCTGGGTTGAGAGTGGCAAGTTTAAAGCCTCACTGTCCTACTTGTAGCTACGTGCTTCCTCTATATAGAAAACTTCCCCAATCGGTGCCTGTTGGTCCCCCATGATCCTCTTTTTCTTATGTCAGTTGAGAGCTGAGTTAATGAGATAGCCACCTGTCAGCAACCTCGCTGTGTGGTCTAATCCCTTCTGGCCCAGTAGTATTGATGGTCTTTAAATGAATATCTTGCCACTGGGCATTAGTACTGTTGGAGAGATTTGAACCTAGTACCCTGTGATCTATAGTCTGGAGACATACTGACCATGACACCTCTACATGTACATACTGTACATGTTTGTGCATGGTAGCAACTGACAATCTTGAGCGTCTAGTGGCTAGAGTTATCCTTGCTTACCGGTATATTTACATTCAATATTCCCCTGAAAGGCTGATTCAATTTTTGAGAAGATATTTCTTGAATTTAACAATGCACTATTTTCCATCTTTGATTGTTGTTTTTCTTTTTACCAGAGTGTACCACAAGGCATGCAACCATCAAGAGCTAATTAGCAATTAGCTATGGCAAATGCTAATTGTATTTCATTTTTATATCTCAAGTTTTACAACTCTTGGTTGATAATCGTCTACATGTACCATCCCTAGAGTTGATCACTTATCCACATTTGTATGAATAATGTAGAACTTTTCCATGATGTATGAGACTGTGAGCAAGCCTCAAAAATCTGGTACCGACTGCTTAAAGCCCCCAGCTGTAGGTGTAACACGCTCTAACGCGCCTAGAAACCAAGCATTAGGTGCCTTTTAAATGTAATCTATTATTTTTATTATTATTATGCTACCGTTATAGAACTTTTCCATAACGTGTGAGAATGCGAGTCTCATGTACGGTCTCAGCTATGCTACATAGGGGTTGCACGACACATATGCTCCTGTAACAGGTGCTCCAGTGTACATGTAGTTTCCTACACTAACAAACTTCCCAACTGCCACCCTGGAGCTAATGCCTTACATACATGTAAGTCTACCGTAATCCTAATCCTAACCCTAATTCCCCCCTAACCCTAAACCTAACCCTAATCCCCCCTAACCCTAAACCTAACCTAAACATAAATAATAATAATAATAATAATAATCTTTTAGTCCACTCCAAATTTTATTAAACCGAAAATGGAAATTCTTTTTGCCCAATTGATTGTGAGCCCGGCAGCCACTGAGCAGCGCCGGATCGACGTTGCTCTATCCCCTTATTGTTGAACGCCAAACAAGGTAGCAGCAACTGCCGTCTTTTAACGTCTTTTGGTATGACTCTAACCCTAAAGCTTTCACAGAATAAAGCCAAAAGCAAATGTCGGGTCCCTGCTGTTCTAATTTCAAGCCCTTTCCCCAAATGCATGAATAGCATAGGGACAATTTCAATTTTTTGACAGATTGGTAAGCACATTTGTGACAAAATCCACCCAGTTGCTTATCAGTTTTGACCCATCGCATGTCAGCTGTTCTAAAGCACTCACGAGTCCATCCCAAGCGGTATCGCTCCGCCCTGTTTTTAGTTGATGTGCTAATTGCACATGTCATGCTAATATCTCTGTTCATATGCCAACTGTTCATTTAAGTTCATTGAACTGGCATCATAATTTGGCTTGAGTCACATATATCCTGCAGGAACATGACGGCAGGGGCAGATTTTTTTTTTTTTTTTTTTTTTGGGGGGGGGGGGGGTGGCAGGGGTGCAGGGGAGGGGTCAGGGGCAGGGATATATGTGCGGGTGATTATGAGGACTAATTCTCATTTTACACTTGGTTCCATTCACTGAATATGAGGTGCCTTTGCAGGGGCGGATCTAGGGGGGGGGGGGGGTTAAACCCCCCTCCCAAGTGAGAAGGAAAAAAAAAGAAGGGAAAAAAAAGAAAAAAAGTAAAACAGTAAAATGGCGCGATATTTGGAAAATCCTTGATCCGCCACTGGGTCAGCAATACATTGCAATATCTGTTGTACATCAAGGTTTTAATTTCTAATAGTTACATTGTAGATAGCACTTCCATTTTCAGGAAAACTGATTCACATTTACAACGCTTTTTCCCCATTTCCCTTTTACCTTTAAAATTTCTGTCTGAAATGATATTGTTTTGTCTTATTGGGTCTGTAGTGAAAGTCATGGAAGCTACGATGTATTGCAAATATATGCACACATGTACTTGTACACTACAAATCCTGATCACAAAATAGGAGGATGTTTTATTAAGAAATCAAAACTCTGATTAATTCTGTAGAAACACAAAGTAATATCATACATGTATGTGCAAATTATAATTGTTCAAACACAGTGATCACTTCCAGTATTTAATTCAAAATTGCCTATAAATGTGATACAAAACATTTTAAGAGTGTGGGAAATAGCCTACAGTGTACATGTTCATACATATGCAATTGGTACGTGTACATGTGGGTAGTATAATAACAGGAAGTATATATACATGCGCAAGTATGATACATATCATGCATGTGGCATTAAGATCATGTATTCAGTCCTGTATTATTCACACTCCTTACAAACAAAAGCTTGTAACCGTCTAGGTCAGTGCACATTATAAAGTACATGTTATTGTGCATAATGTACATGTTATTGTGCATAATGTACACACTGAGGTACATATCGGCGGCGCACAGTGCTGCAGTTTTAAGTGTCCGACGAAGCAGAATCGGCTAGCTAGCTCTGCCGCGTCGTCATCGTAATTATCGGCGTAGACGGGTAAAAAGCAATCTCAATCTGTGGAAACCCACCCTAGCTAGCTGACCTATATTAGTCACCGAGGAATAGGATGGGGTAGTGGGTAATTGGCAATTAAAAGGAGGGGGATACGACAAAGGAACGAGGGAAATATGTAGGTGGGTGTGAGGAGGGGGTATGATGGAAGGGGAGGGGGTATGATGGAGAAGTTGGGTGGGGAGGAAGAAAAAGTGAAGTACAAATGTAGGATGAAAAGGGTAGTATAACCCTCCGTCTTTATCCTTCCTCTTTATGAGAAGGAGGGGTATATATGACAAAAGGAACGAGGGGAATTTGTAGGGGGTGTGATGGGGAAGGGGGAGGTGGGGAAGAGATGGAGTATAAAAGGGACAGAGGGGCTGTAACGCCCCCTTCTTCATCCTTCCTCTTTATAAAAAGGAGGGATATATGTGAAAAAAGGATGAGGGAAATTTGTATAAAGGGGGTGTGATGGGGAAGGTGGAGGTGAGGGAGAGATGAAGGAGAAAGGATGAGAGGGCAGTATCATCTCCTTCTTCGTCCTTTCTCTTTATTATTAGGGAAGATGAAACTAAAGGATGTGGGAAATTTGTCAGGATGGGATGTTCTTTTGCCACATAATGATAAACTTTAGTCGTAGTTGTTCAACCTAAATTTATATTGGAGTGTTGGACACTGCCATTTAGAAATAGAGGGAAGGATGAAACAGATGGCATATTACATGGACAAGGACATTACTAAGATCTTCATAAGGTTGTAGGACTACACGCTGTATAATGTCTGTCGTCTATATTGGGAGGAACCCAACTGTCACCTGTTGATTTTAAATGGTGTCATCATTGTAGTTTTTCGGGGGAGTTAAAATCTAATGCGTCTGGTGCTCATGGGCTCCCAAA